CAGTTTTGGTGTTTCATGGCCCAAATATTCAGAGCTCTGGTCCTTTGGTGCAAGAGGGAATTTGCTTCTCAAACACCAGCCTGCTTCTCAGATCGGTACCCGCCTTTGAATGTCTTTCTAGGTTGACACCACATTGATTGTGTTGTGCTTGATGACATATTTTACTGAAGTGGCACGTTGGTGGTAGTCTAAGATGTTTGTCTGCGACTTTCTTTCAGGTGAAAGAGTGCTTTGTTTTCATGGACCTCTCCTTTATGAAGCAAAGGTATGTGTGCTTGCTTATTGCTGCTGCTTTTCCCCAAGAAAAGAAGGAATTGTGTTAGTTTACCTGCTGCGCCTCACTAGATGGGATTAAGGACTGAAATGAAAACAAAAGAAAGCCTGATAATGTATGAAATTAATCAGTTTTAAGTCCTGGAGTTCTATATTGTAGAAAAATTTCAGAAAACCCCATGGTGCAGCTGTTCTGGTGAACTCCTAAAGGCTCAGGGTTCTTGTGTGTCAAGCATCCGATTCACTGTGTTCCCAGAGCACCAGGGAACGTTTGTGCCCGCAGGACTCGGTGCTGGAGCATGAGCACCGAGTTAGGAGCAGTTTGAGCTTCCTCAGCGGTGCCGGGTGCTGAGTGAAGTCTGTGCTCTTCAAATGGGACAACGCTGCGGAGACAATTTTGGATTGAAGTCACAAGGAAGCGGCCTTCTCGGTTCTGGCTTTTTCCCCGCAGAAACCACGCGGTGCAGATTTGTGACGTGGAGGAGCATCCCTGCTGCTTGGGTTGCAGGCCTCTGCTGCAGCGCTTCCCGCTGTGTGCTTTTCCTCTGGGCCTTACACAGATGTCACTGCTGTGCCATCAGCTCCTAATCTGACTGCGGGTTTCCACTGCCTCTGAGATGGAAACAAAGGGCCTGTGTAGCTGCATGGGTTGGAAGACTTGCAGAAATTCCTGGGGTGCCTTAAACAGAGATTTAAATCCGTTAGGTTTTAGTGTCAGTGAATGGTAACTCGAGAGGAGGTAAAAGGGGGGCAGTTAGGAATAATTGACATCTCTTCGTGCTATCAGGAAATAGTCATTCTGATGTTGAAATAACATCCAGAGCATTGACAGGGACGTGCTTGTCTGAACCATCTTCACTTCAGTGATTCTGCTGTCCCCTGTCTTGCTCTGGAACTGGAGGCCAGGTGGGTGATGTGGCTGCTGTTCTGGGCTCTGCTTTTGCAGGAAGAGGCACATCCCTGGCCCTGTTTTCCCTTGATACAGAAGCGGTAGCCTGAGCTCTCATGCAGGGCTGCAGGGGCAGAAGGGAGGTGTGTGGCTGTCAGACAGCGTGCACGGTTGTTCCAGCTCCCCCAAAATACTCCCTGGATGGGCTGAGGCAGGGTCATGCAGGCTGTGAGTAGGGCTGTGCTAAGCTGTAAGGCAGAAGAGTTTGTGAGGGACACTTCTGAACCCAACTGGTGGCGTGGAGTGGTTGGAGCACCCTTGTTATGTGTGTTCCCTCTTCTAATGGTCTCACCTTGATATCACTGTGTGAGGGTTATTCATAGGCCAGTCTTTTGATGGCGATAACTGTTTTTATTTGCCTCATGTAGACATTCTTAACCTAGAAAAAGCCCTTGCTGCAGCTGTTTCTGCTGAATATAATGCTCTCTCTGTGGCTGTAGAGATCCAGATTATTTACTTTACTTCTGAAGACTCCTCTCCTTTAGCCAGCTTACCTGTCTGCATGCGAAGAAGCTCTCTAGCAAATGGCTTGTGGCTAAGCTGGGGTAGTGAAGTGACTGCTCCTTCACTCTCCTGGCCATCCCCTGGGGTTTTTGATACCCCTCGTGAGCAAAGGTGGCCCTTTGATAGCTGAGCAGAGTCGCTCGTTTGCCCAGCCCTCCTGAATCCATAAATAGGCAGTAACTCGTGTTAGAGAACCTATTTCTGCTGTGAAGTAGCTGCTGGTATTTCAGTCGCTTGCGTGGAAATCTCTGCATGCTTCAACTCTGAAAGCTAAACCAGCAAAACCCAGTCAGGTCTCTTTGTTCTCATTGGTACTGACAACTTTCTTCTCTGTTCCAGTGTGTGAAGGTTGCCATAAAGGACAAGCAAGTGAAATACTTTATCCATTACAGTGGTTGGAATAAAAAGTAAGTACTGCATAAAATGAAAGCAGTATTTCATTTTCCTTTTGGTATGAATGTGAGCTTGATGGACTGGCACTGCTATGTCTGTGCTGTTAGGAGATAGCTTCTGAAGCTGACCTCCGAGATCTCTATAGGCAAGCCAAGGAGTTACCATAACACAAAACATTGCCTGACTAACTGTTTCCTTCAGAGCTTTGGTCGTGTAGACACACAAGCTCAGGGTGTCAGCAGACTGATGGCAATGCTCTATAGCATTCTGTTAGCTCAAGTTTGGAAATGGATGCTGTAATTCCTCCTGGGCAGAAATAATCTAGTACAAAAACTTCCTTGTTACGTGTTGGTGGGAGAGGCAACCCCTGCTGAGGTGGAGCGAAACTCCACTGGAATGCACAGTGGACTTCGCTTTTGTAGCACTTTTGGCAGCGAAGGGTGGTAGCAGAGATCTGGAGAGGCATGCCTTGCTGCCGGCTGTGCTCACAAGGGGAGAGGCTGTGCTAGTCCTCCACAGGAGCCAGTTTAGCCTGTATTTCAGTCCTTGCCTCTCGAGCGAAGGTAAAGCTACAAATTCTTTTCCCTTCTGCAGAAATGGTAGGGCTCTAGGTGAGAGACTGCTGAAGGATAAAGAGGTCTCTGAAATAAATGTTGAGCCCAGTAAAGGTGAATGCTTCTGTGGGATTATTGCACTTATTATGTACTTGTTTTCTTTCATTTGAATTCTCTTCTGCCACAAGGTTTTTGAATTGAGCAAAAGTGGAGTTTTTTCTTAGCAATTAAAAACTTCAGCTCTTCAGATCCCAAGTCTTTGAGAGCACTTTCCTGCTCTGTTTGGTCACGTTTCATTTCAGTGCTGCAGAATCTGAAGACCAGTGGTTGCTGTTATCTTGAGCTCACTGATGTGACTAAAACCTGAGCTTCACGTTTTAATGTGAAGCTTTTTGAAATGCGTCCTCCGCACACTGAGTGGCCAGATAAATGTTTTATTGTAAACCCCGGCGGTCGCAGGGAGCGTAATTGGTTCTTACAGTGGCTGCTGTATATTAATGAGGCAGCACAAATGTGGTACTTCCTGTCCCTGTTTATCTGACGGGTGCCGTAAGCGATGTTGTGACTCCTGCTTTTCTTGCCTGCGCTCTTCTGAGGTTTTTTTTGCCTGGCAGCTTCCAATTAACAACATTAAAAGTGGCGTGGCTGCACGATCTAATCATGGGGGCAATAGGACTCCTTAATTTTGGCTTTTATAGTGATGGTCCTTTGCTGCTTGTTAATTGCTTGACTTCTGCATTTTTTTGGTGAATATCAACAGGTAGGGTACCAAAAAAGCTGCTGCTTCATACGCTGTAACGTGGTGCAGTTATATAGCTCATCTTTTGAAGGTCTCTTGCAGCAGGAGTCAGATAAGTGGCTTAAACACCTGACTGAAGCACTACCCCAAAAACACAGTCCTAGAGCACAGTGTTGGGAGCATTGGGATGCTAAGCTTGCCTCATCTTAGCACTCAAAGACCTCGTGCTCCTGTAGTGGCTTTGTTTTTGCCCCCTTGATGTTCCAGGACTGGCAGCTGTTGCCATGACATGAAAATCACACAAGTCTCTATGGAAAGAGCTTTAATTTGTGTACGTTGGAATAACTTGGCCACTTTAAATGTGTTGTGTTTGAAATAAGCGGTCACATTGCTCAATTATCCACTCTTTGTCAAAGTGGAGTTGGTGCTCGTAACGGCCGTTTCCCCAACACCTCTTCTCTTAAATCGTTCACTTCAGATTCTTCAAATATTCATGCCATCTTGGTTTCCTTCACAGACAGAAATCAGAGCTCTTCTTCTTACAGTAAGATCTTATTGCTGAATTTGTTAACGTATAAAATGTTGGGATAGATAAAGGAGACTTGTTTCATAATGTACTTACACAGGTGTCCCCTCAGTTTAGTAAGTGTAGACTTTTCTTTTTCCTGAGATGCTGCTTTTAAATTAAAGACAGTCCCCTCCCACCCAAATTGCCCAGCATACGAGTTTGGGAACCTCTTTGGAAATGCCCGAGGGTCACACTTCCCTAGAGAAACAGTTACAGCTTCATTTTGTGGGGAATGTGTTTGGTAACTCACACGTTCACTTGTGTCAGTCCGAGACTTGACACAAAAGTTCAGCCTCCAGTTTTGTGAAGCTTTTAATTGACTCCTGTGTGTGGAATGCAATCGTGTCGTGGCTTTGAATGATCGTTTGATTTTTTCCAATTGCTTTTTCAGCTGGGATGAATGGGTTCCAGAAAGCAGAGTGCTCAAATACGTGGATACCAATCTGCAGAAACAAAAAGAACTTCAAAAGGCCAATCAGTAAGTATTTCTGTGAGTAAATGTATTTTTTAATAGAACTTAAATCCAAGGGTTGTGAGTTTACATTGGTTTTTATGAATGCTCATCTTGTATTTCTTTAGTAGGAATGCTTTTATTGCAAAGCTGGTTTATATTTTCAGAAGTGTTGTGCTGCTTCCACCTGATTCAGAATAGCAAGGATGGTGGGGTGAGATGTGTGTTCTTGGTAGGAAGAAGCCTAAATCTTGATAGTGAGTTGAATTTGTTCCTGCCCATGACACACGCTGACACACAAAGCCATTTACTGAATGTTCTCCTACCTGGTCCCCTTTAAGGGAAAACAAACTTCTTTTTTCCATTAATGTTGTCTTTGTGAATTTACTCTCTTTAAAGGGAACAATATGCAGAGGGGAAGATGAGAGGCGCTGCTCCAGGCAAGAAGACTTCTGGTCTGCAGCAGAAAAATGTTGAAGTGTAAGAAGCTTTTTATTTACAAAACCATCCCACCCCCAAAACCCCACCTAAAAACAACCTCCCAAACTTTTGCTTGTCAGTTTTACTACTGGTCTTTAAATAGTCTTTCTTATATTGGTTCTACAGGCTAAACTACATTACTTCTGACACGACCCATAGAAAAATTGTTTTGATTTTGTGATACCGTAAAGGCCTTTGAAATATTTCATTAAAGCCGCCTTCTCGGGCTGTGCAGTGTTAAATTCTGGATCAGGTACTGAGGAGACACTGCCACTGCACCTTTTGTGCACTCTGTTCCTCTTAAGTTAGTGAACTGACACTCAAAACGCGGTGAGTCCTTGTGAGACTTGTGTCTTGGTGAAATCAGTTTCTGTAGAGAATTTGCCACCTCTTCCAAGCTGTGCAAACAACTTTGGAATAAATTCCTTGAAATGCCTTGCCTTCTTACTGTGCAGTTGTTAAGACTGCATTTCAGGAGTCTTTGTTTTGCTGTTTTTGACAAAACGAAACCCATATGCTGTTAAAAATGGTTTTGCATCTTAAGAGACCAGAAGCAAGCTCAGACCTTTATTAGGAAATGATTTTAGGATTTCAGCTTTCTTTCATTCCATCCTTTTGATTTCTCAGAATAGGCTGGTACGGTGTCTGGATTCTCAGTCAGCCAGAACAGCTCTGCTGCTTTGCTCATGTGCCGTGAAACCCCTCTGGTTGGGGAAGCACTTCACTTAATTCTGAACATGGTCGTTCCTAATGTGGTGGTTTGAACTCCTGACTTCATTTGTGGTTCTGGTCTTCATGAGGAATCTGCTGAGATGGCATCAGTCCCTACGAGCAGCACTTGGCAGCAGCCTCAGATTTCATGTCTCATTTATGGGCAGCTTTATGTTATGAGGTCTATACCATTGATGGGAGAAGTGCAGCGGTAGTGGGTGCAGTTGGGTTTTTTGGTCTAGACCCTGAATGCAGATTTCATTTGGGGATTATCAAAGCCCAGCCAGGGCTGTAAACTGGCTCTTGGGCTCTGGGATGAGGAGTGCGATGGATGTGGCCATAGTGGTGTGTGCATGTTCCCTGGGTGGGGTGGTGTTGCTGTAGGTCCTGAGGTGCTCCAGCACCGGTGGTTTGGTGTGCTCTGTCAGCTCAGGACAGAGTCACCCGTGTGTCACCTTTTGGGACTGAGAAACCCAACCCAAATGTCTGTTTAGACAGCTCCTACTGAGTGTCATTAAAATCTCATTAAAACAGAGCCAAATTACAACCACTACTAATTCGGCTGCTTAAGGGGTTGTTGCACTTGACTCTTCTTGTGTTTTAGTCAGTGGGAGCAGAACTAATTTCGTGTGTAACTTTGACACAGGGAGTGATGACTCACTTGGAAATGTCGGCAGTTTGTGGTCTAGAGAACATCCCAGTGGTAACTGGGCTTCCCCACGCCCTCTGCTTTAGTCGCCCTGCCAGTCCACACTGGTTGCAGTGGGATGAGGGAAGGCTCAATGTTAACCTGTGCCTGTAACCAAAGTGGGCTTAATCCTCTCAACCACACCTGATAATGTTGGATCTGAGGGAGACCTACGCAGCAGAAATGCCTTCATCTTAAACCTCTGTGTAACTGGAGAGCTTGGGAGCATGTTACCAGCTCTGCCTTTGCTCTCTGGCTGGAACCAGCAGGGGCAAGAGTAGCTTTGCCTTGTGATGAGCATGGGTGGTTGGTGCCAGCATACCAAGACAGGCATCGAGGTAGTTCTCTGAACTTCTGCTTCATGTTGACTGGGAAAATTAATCCCTTGATGGTGGATTTTCAGGGCTGTGAAGAGGAAAAAGGGAAACTCTTGTCATTAGAACAGCAGTCTGGCATTGTGGGAGTTATTTACAACAGGGTCCCATACGCTTGTCGCACTGATCTTGCTCCTAGTCTCTAGCCACTACCAGCATCCAATGCATCCTCCTAAATCAGACCTGTGCTCTTCTACAAAGTCTCCCTATTTTTCTTCCCTGTTTGGAGGCCGAGGGTGAGGAAATGCTTTGAGTTACCCTAGCAGTGGTGCAGGGTTGTGATACCAATGTGGTGTTGACCAAACTGCTGCTGCTCCCATCTTGCTTACAGCTAAAGGTGAGAGGGCTTCTGGAAAATCTCGAGGTGCAGTTCCAGTGTAAAACCCCTGGATTGCACCCTTGTGGTAAACCTGAGGTCATTGGAGGTACATCAATACTGGTGGTGGGGAGGGGTAACAACTAAAAGGGTAACTCTCTCAACCTATTTGGGCCTCAAAATTTACCTTTTGTAGCATTCTTGGAGGACCGAGCAAAGGGAAGGGTAACTTGCGTTTTGGAACTTATTCTTCAGATAGCCAAACAGTAATGGAAAGGAAATAACAATCTGAGCACAACTTATCCTCCAGGAATGTTCAGTAAGACTAATATGCTGCTAAAAAGGTAAATTTTTGAATCTGAAGTAGCTTCTCTTTAAGGCTAAACACGAGGTCTGACATTCTTTCCTTAACTCAACCCCCATTGTGCCTAGATTTTTCAGACGAGATGGAGCGCATACTGTTTGCTGTTTGGAGACCCCTACCATATCGACGCGGTGAGTTAAGGATGGATTGTCAAACCAGGATTTTCATCCTGAAGTCCGCATCTCCTTGCTTTCATAGATTTCTTTTAGAGACTCTTAAAGTCCTCGGCTGTAATAACATGAGCTTTAGTAGCAGTTCAGTTAATTGTAAGTACTGCAGTCTATCGGTTTGGGTGTGGTTTTCTTTCTTTATTTTTTAAAGCCCCTATGGGCTTTAAACTACCAGTTTTTAGTTTCTTTAAAATTTCAGTTGGGATAGGGTGCAATTTGAGTGGCCACACGTTAGTAGAGGACACTGGGTAGCAGTTGGTCTGCATGCTGCTGTGGCCTGGGCTCTGCTTGCATGGAAATGGGTAACACACAGCACTGTCTGCTGGGAGTCTTGAGAGCAAGGCTGCTATGATAAACGTGTTAAAAATGGGAGGTTTGAGCTCGCTCCTTAATGTGCCATATTTTTATTGTTGGCTTGGATAACTGTTTATGTAAACTGGTTCAAAAAGCCTGGGAGACTGACTGTAAGCAATACTTGATCCAATAGAAATATGCATGAAATGCAAATTATATACACTTGTTTTTAAAATAATTACTCATTTTACCATAACTAGAAGCTATCTTAAAAAAAACCAACTTTGTATGGTTATAGCAGGTCACCAGAAATGAAATGCAGCACTACAGATACTGGCTTCTCCAGGCTGTTTTCTGTGTAGCTCTGCTGAATTCCAGCTCCTAAGAGCTGATGTCACCTTTCACGGGCCCAATAGGATTAACTGCCAAAAAGTCACTAGAGTTAACGAGTATTTTTAAAATCAGAAGAGTAACTAAGTGTGTTCTGGAGGGCACTGAATAACAAATTGGAGAATAGCATCTGGCTTTACATTATGTGTATGCAAGCAGTCTCATCAGAGATGCTCTCAAAGCAGTATCTCAGCTTGGGAGTCGTCGTTTTTCCTTCTAATAGGAGTCTTGTTCTTAACCTGAACTTACTACTCCAAAGCATACGCTCCTGCTGCACACCTCGTGGCATCCTCTGCTGGCTCTGGCACCGTTGGCAGTGCTCTCACAAGCTGCTGCAGGTCCCCTAAATGTCAGGCACCGCATGAACGCTGCCTCCACGCCAGCCATCCATGGCTGCAGCAATGCTGAAACAGCTGCGCTGGCTCAAGGCGGAGGTTTTCCAAACCTCTTCTGCTCTCTGATGCTCACCAGTGACACGTGCTTGGGGACCATCGAGTGAGTCGAGTCGAGAATGATGCTCTCCTCCAAATACCCTTTTAGCTTCTGGCAGTGTGTAATTAAGGGACTTCAGAGCTGGAGGCTGTATCCGTGTGATGGGTTTAATAACCCCTTGTAACACTGTCTTACATTTATCTAAACTTCTGAACCATTTGGATGTCTGGCATCCCCATCATCTTGTGGCAGCGTGTTCTTGTTTTAACTCAGAACTGGTGAAGAGAGGAGCAAAGAGGATGATGATAATATTGATATCTGCTGCTTTGGTTTCTGGTCTCTTTCATCAGATCTTGAGGAAAGATTGATTACTACTTGGAGCTTCACCTTTTATTGTTAGTGACATCTCTGCCATGTTTCCCCTCATCTTCTTGCCCACTTGTTGGCTTGGGAAAGCCCTCGTCTGCCTGGTTACTCCTGGTGCAGAAGCTGTTGTACCCACCAGCTGTCTTTGCTCTCTTTACCTCTCCAGGTTTTATTGTGTGCCTGACCAGGCACAGAAGACATACATAGATATAATCCAGGCTAATAATATTTGACGGTTTAATTGAATCTTGATAGGAATGCTGCTCCTCACAGTGAAGGTAGCAACCAGGCTGTTTAAGCGATAGTGGCTGATGTCATACTTTTCTTTCCAACATACTTATTTTTCACACTTGATTCTTTTCATTTACTTTTTATTACTAGTCACCTTGTGTTAGGGGAGACTTTATGATTTCATATAGCTTAGTTACAGCTGTTGTTTTATCAGTAAGCTGGCACCTAATCTTTTTTCTGGCATTTACAAACAGATTGGACTCGGTTGCCTCAGACCAAGTGGTGGCTGCCTCCATTCTCTGCTCATACCTTAATCAGCCATTGCAGGGAGGCTCTAACAGAGAAATACAAACGAAGAATAGCAGCTGGGCTGTACTTGCTGGACAAGGAGAAACCAATGAAAGTTTTTTTTTTCCCTGCTTCTATGCAGCAGTGTAGAGCTTGCTGTTCATGATGTAGCTGTGAAGTGGCACAAAAAGATGTGTTTTAACCTATCCTGGATACATTTCAACCTCTTGGACTCCAGTGTCCATCAGGAGGGCTGTCTGTAACCTCTGTGGTGCAGATGCTGCATCTTTCCTCTGGGTGTCGAGTGCCCTGCGTGCTTCAGTTGCTGTGCACAACAGCAGCACTTCCCCTTGCAGCTGCTGTCACCCAGCAGAGTATTACTCCTGACAGGCAAAATCTGTCAAGTGCTGATGCTTTGCCCCTAACCTTGGCTCTTTCTGTTTGTTCCCTGGCTCAGATTTGTCTGTTAGCCTTTGCAAACAGATGGCTGCTTTGGCTTGAAGCAGAGGTGTGCGACTTGACGTGCAAGGAGCGAGGTGGGAGAGCACCAGCGCCTGCCTGGGATGGCTCGTGCTGGGCTTTGTGCTTCAGTCACGTGGATGTGGGCACTGTCTTAGTTGTGGTAGTTCTTCCAGTACTTTGTATTGCCTGTCCCAGTTTGAGACTCTGCTTCTAGACTAATGCTTAACATTCTTTTTCTCTTGTGGTTTTAATCCTGGAAAGAACTCCCCGTTCCTCCTTGTTTACTCTAGGTTTGGAAGAAAAGACTTTCCTTTCAATGCACTGGTCTGTTATCAGTGACTTGACTTGGCAGTCGTTCCCTCTTCCTGCAGAGAGCTGCTCTTGGTTCTGCCCACAGCCTGAGCCCAACGCTTGTTTGTGACTCAAAGTCTGAAGAAGGCCTTGCTCTTCCTATCTTCAGACCTTCCCAGAAACTCTGCCTCCTTCCCGACCCAGATAAACCCAGTTCAGAGCCCGAGTACAGGAGTCACTTCAGGGAAATAATCTTGTACTGGTACAGAGTTGCAGCCACACGATTTTGTGAGAGGTTTAACTGGACTCCTATTAATCGTGAGCAAATTGAAACATGACTGGTAGTGCTCTTAATGAAAACTTCCTGAAAATGGTTAGTTAATATAGAGAGGTCAGATAATGACAGAATTATGTTAGGACAGTCTAATTTTGTCATTGGCAGTCTTGACTATCTGAATATCTGCACAGTGTGCATTGTATTTCAGGTGTCTAAAATGCTTGGAAGTATAGATTTTGATTTAAAATTAGGGGCTAAGGATAGAGACTTTGTAAATTAGAAACACTAAGTGCTGCGAGAACCATTTGGAAGAAGATAAATACTAGGGACAAGGCTATTCAGTACACTTCAGATGTTTCTAATAAGTGGTGAGTGTAATTATGATCTCCCCCAAAAGCTGATGGTGGAATCGTAGGCAGTCCTTCATGCACTGAATTCTGCTGGCGCTGTTAAACTTCCACTGCTGTAGTGGTAAAACTGTGTTTTCAGTACTTTACTGGAAGTTAATCCAGTTGTCTGAGATGTATCTGATAGTTCCCAACACTTCTTCCCTTGTCCCATGTCCTGTCTCCAAGTGATCCCTGAAATAAGGAAATAAAATACCTACAAATCTAGTGTAGTTCTGCAGGAGCACTGGAAGGTGTGAAACCTCTGTAGGTGTTACTTGCATAAACGTCAGTCAAAACTGCCCTTAAATACGTGACCTTGGCATGGCTTCTGGGCTTTTGTAGACTGGAGTTCAGTGTTTCCCCCAGAATGGTGAATCCCAACCTGCTGCATGAGAAACCTTGGTAGTATCAAAACTGATGCTAAATCGTATCTGACATCTTTTTCATGTGCTTTTATCTAAAGGCTCCATAGGCCACTGAGTATTCACTTGTTCTGAACCCAGTGGGCAGTTTTTCTGGCTTTCTACTTTGGATTAAGTGCTGCTGTCTTTATATTTGCAATAATTTGTGTTCTTCTTGCAGGAAAACAAAAAAGAACAAACAGAAGAGTAAGTATCTCTTTTATTTGGTGTGGAAGTGGATATCCTGAGTGAAGGATGCTTAGCTGGAATAAGGCCTTAAACCTGCCTGAGCTCAGTTCACTTACTGTCACCTTGGGCTGTTCCTCCTGGACTTCAGACGCCTCTTCCTCTGGGTCAGGAGAAATGCAAACTTTTCTGGTTTGTGCACAAACTCCTTGGTTCGGTCTGCCAAGATTTTGACCTCTTGCAAATTAAAAGCAAAGTTGGATCCGTTGAAGTAATTTCGTAAGTCAAGCTTATGTTTTCTTACCGAGGTGGAGGTGTGACCTGTCTGCAGAGCTGCCTCCAAAAATTCTTGTGGAGAATGTTACAGATGCTGGCGTATTGGTTTGGTTTTAGTGCAGAAACTTCCATCTTCAGATAATGCAAATACAGCAAATTAAACTGTCTCAGATATGAGGACCTCCAGAATCCAAGTAATCTTTGAAACAAAACCAAACAAGTGAATTGGTGACCTGAGAGAAGTCCGAGTCTTACATTTAAACCCTTCTTCTAAATCTTTTTTCCTGGTATTCTTACTGACTTACCAGATTGCTTAAGCAGCATCATGTCCTTTTTTGTCTCTTTCCATGCAGCTCCAGGCATTGGAGAAGGCAGCAGCACCAGTGAGACACCTCAGCCTCCCAGGAAGAAGAGGGCTCGAGTAGATCCAACGGTTGAGAGCGTGCGTATTTCTAACTCTCTGAGGATCTTTGATAGAAAGTCTTTCTTTGCTCAGAAATACAGACAGCAACACTTTGTCCCGCAGTGTGAAATGTTCCAGCTTGCAAAACTGAGGTTCCCAAGTGGCCTTGAAAGATCTGAACTATTTCCTTGTTCCCTGTGGAGCCTACAGGAGTTGCTGTAGTGATTCCCCAGTCCTGTGGTGGATTTCAGCTGTGAAAACAAGGGCTATGGGTGGCTCTTAGCTGGGACAGTTACCTGAAAGTAATTGGTCTGATTTCTCATTTTCAGGAAGAAACATTTATGAACAGAGTTGAAGTAAAGGTGAAAATCCCAGAAGAGCTGAAGCCATGGCTGGTAGATGACTGGGACTTGATCACCAGGCAAAAGCAGGTAACTTTCCATCAAAACAATCTGGCTGTGTGTAGGTGAGGACACAAACTAGAATTTCACGTTCACTTCAGGTGCAGTGTAGTGAGATCTCTTGCAGGGTGGTTAACTTGGCAGTTCTCGTTCTGGTTGGATTTTAACCTGTGAGCAGGGTTGTGCTCAGCAGAGTTGTGTGTAAATTTGTGGAGTAGACTTTGTCTAATCAAGCACAAGCTAGAAAGGCAAACTTAGGATGTTTTAATGGCTTGTGACTTGTCTCTTGTATGAAACCACTGCTGAGGTTGGCAAGAGGTGTAGAAACCAACACTGCTGAAAGCTGTTTGTTATTGTTTGATCAGCTGTCATTGCACTTACTGCTCCTCCAAGGGACTGTGTCTGCTCCTGCCATCCCAGACACACAAATATCTTCAGGTCCTGTGTGGATAAAGCTGACTTATCTTAAACCTGCATCAGCAGTAGAGGTGCTTAAGGGCCACTGTATTACACCAACTCCAGCTCTGGAGACTTGGGTTTGGTTTCTTTTGTCGCCCCAGATGCCTTCGTGTGAAAGGGAACAGATGAGTGAACTGGGGCCCATGCCTCTGAAAACCAAACAAAAAACCCACCAAAAAAATAAAGCAGTGGTTGTGGTACGCACAGCTAAACCAGTTGGGTGTTCCTTTAATAACATTTGATGTCTTAACCTGCTAATTTCATTCTGGAAATGTCACATGTTGGTTCACACTTAGCATGCAGATATAAATGTCTGCGTAAATTAAGACAAGCTGGATCCGCTCGGTTTTATTTCTTCTGTAGCTCTTCTACCTTCCTGCCAAGAAGAACGTCGACTCCATTTTAGAGGATTATGCGAACTACAAAAAATCACGAGGAAATACTGATAACAAGTAAGTAGTGGTCATTTCAGACCTTAAATACCACTTTTGCTGCTGTTGTTGGACTTGTATTTCATGGAGAAAGTAGTAAGGTTGTTAAACATGTGCCAGCCCTATCTCCAGCTGCATGGCCAAGACCGAGGTGATGGAGGAGCTCAGAAATCATTGAGGAGGTAATTCAAGAACGCAGGTCTGATTTCTGGATGTTATCTCGGCTCCCCTAAGCCTTTTCCTAAAGGAAGCTGGTAAAAGCCAAGTGAGGAGCTCTCCACCCCTTCGTTCTAGCTCAGGCTTCCTCTGCTGGGTGAATAATTTCAGTGGCACTCGCTGTGTGTGCACTGAACAAGGTCTCAGGAAAGCCACCCAGCAGCTGAGCGAAGCGTTACTGTGTGGGTGGACTCTGGTGGGGGCAGAGGGTGGGGGACAGGGAGGACAGCGATGACTTCTAAAAGGGCAGAGCTAATTACCTGGAGGTGACAGCTTTGAAGAGTCTTATTTGTAATTACCCCCGCAGTCCAGCCCTGACAACAAACAAGGTGTGTGTGTGTGCTTGGCTGAAGCTTTCCTGTGGTAGAGGCAGAGAAACTAGAAAGGTGAAGTTATTTTCTTCCATTCAAGAGGAAGCAAATGACTGACTTGTCAGGGTGCTTTAACATTCCTTTATGTACTTGTCCTAATGGCCGCTCTGGAAGGACTGCTCTAGGAGTTAACTGCTCTGAGGGGCTATGTGACTAAAAGCAAGGCCTTTCTTGGTTTGCTGAAATTCTTGCTGAGTTCGGAACAGTCCATTTTTAAAGGCGGTCTTGAAACACATCACTCCCTGCAGCTGTGTTTTAATGTCCCCAGACAAATTTCCTCGAGGAATCTGAAGGCTCATAGAAGATCTCCATGGTTTCGATGCGCTCCCCGAGCCAACCCTCACCTTGCGTCAAGCCTGTTGGTGTTTTCTCTCTTTACCAGGGAGTACGCAGTCAATGAAGTTGTGGCTGGAATTAAAGAGTACTTCAATGTCATGCTGGGAACTCAGCTCCTCTACAAGTTTGAGAGGCCCCAATATGCTGAAATTTTAGCAGATCACCCAGATGCTCCAATGTCTCAAGTCTATGGTGCCCCACACCTACTGCGGTTATTTGGTGAGTGGCACCTCCTTTTCCTGTCTTGGGTCTCGATGGGTGTGAACTGCCAAAACTGGACAAGCAGCTCTGAAATGTGCTTGTTTCTTGCCTTACTCCATGTACCTGAAGTGTTCAGAGCAACTCAAGGATTTGGGATGGAAATGGATTTTCAACAGTCGTTAGCTTCTCTGTATTGGAATAGATTCCTGGGTGGTTTTTATGTCACTGTAAGGTTTTAGACTGTACTGAAATACTTCTAAAGCTGTTGTTTATAACAAGTGCTCCTTCTTTTGGAACAGTGCGAATTGGAGCTATGCTTGCTTACACTCCTCTTGACGAGAAGAGCCTGGCTTTGCTGTTAAACTATTTGCATGACTTCTTAAAGTAAGTACTTCTACAGTTCTTTGACAAAGAAAAGGTTCAGTAAGCACAGGCTACTGTAATGGAGCCTGTTTTTAGTAATGAATTGTTTTATAACTATATATGTAATAATATACATAAAATTAATTTTTATATATAAATATAGCTCTATATAT